TCCACTCGATCTTTGGAACCGGAAATAATAAAATAGCTTTCATTAGATCAAAAGCCCCGAAGTCATCGTTGTATTATAACACACTAAATAGGATATATGGGGTCATGACCCCCCAGAGGTCATTCCCAACCCCTAAAACTTCAAATGATCATATACATTGTATCTTGAAAATGGTTGAAAACTCTCCCCTTAACCATATATAATATTGTCCCTTGAGTCATTATGCATTAAATGGTATAAAGGTTATGACCCCTTGATCTCATCCTCATCCTAAAACTGGAAATGATCACAATATGACCTGCGTCAAAAGTGTGTTAGTGATAATCTGCTTGACATTTTATTCAGGCCCCCCTAGGGTCAGTCCACCCTCCTAGAATTAGAAAATGAAAATCATTCAAAGACCCGCCATTATAATTTGTGTACATGTACATTTTTGTATTATTCACAATTTATTTTATACCAAAACAAGTTATAAATAATTTGTATAAATAAACAAGCCTGGGGCTGGGAAGGGGGAAAAGGGGAAGGAGTTATGTCTGCATGGTCTTAAATGTTGAAAACTCCTAAAATTTGTGAATATTAACCTAGTCGTTTCCCACTTGTCATCATTATTTACTGATCTTCCCACAACATACCTGTGTCTTTATTAAAACAATAGATCATGGACTTTTTTTTGGTCATATGCCTAGCTTTCCCTTGAATCAGGAATGTTGATATAAATATTTTAAGAATGATTAAGAATTAAAACAGGTCTTGCACAATCTCTTAAAATTGATTAAGTGCTGTAGTTGAATAAGCTATACTGGTATAGCTTGGTTTTGCTATTCAAAACACTTTGATTTAGCTATTTAATCATACTTTTTTTAATGTACATTTTTATCAATATAGATAAAAGTTGCACTATGTTGACATGGGAATAAAGTTTAAATTTTCAGCTTTGAGTTTTCTGAAAACAATGCATGAAGGAAAATTGCTTTTCAAAAATGTCTCCTGAGAATTTGCTATCACAGATATATATTTTGCATGGGGCTATATACCTGGAGTTTTCTCTCTCTCTCTCTCTCTCTCTCTCTCTCTCATCTACTTGAGTCAAAGTGGAATTATAAGACATTTTTTTTTAATTGATGACTTTTTAGGATTTTACACTAATTCATACTGCAGCAAGAATGTTATCCCTCTCAGAAAAAAAATAAGTTTACTCACTATCTTGTCTTTGTTCTATATCTATAATTACAAAAGGACACAGCCAGAAGTCTTTTAACATGGTTTATTACAAATTTCATATGGAACTCCTATTAATTTGCTCAAGATCAGTATTTTTAGTAGGCAGAAATGAACTCGATCAATTATGCTTGAAAAGTACTCACTGTGAACAATCACCTGACTTGTTGAAGACAGGTAAACATACCCCTCAGGGTATAATAATCATACAAAGGCCTGTACAAACCTTCTTGCATAATCATCATTATCTTAGTTAAAATGAGAAGAAACACACTAGAGGTGTGATGAAATATTTAGAAACACAAAGAGTTTTATTTCTCATGCAAAATATTCTTTCTTGTGTAAAACAATTGTTCACATGAAGGGCCAAACCTTCTTTAAGGGGAGATAAGAATGAGTGAAAATTTAATGTTATTTCAAAAATCTTCTGAAGAAGAACCACTGGGCCAGAAAAGTTAAAAATTATGTGAAACTTCATTACTTAGTGTAAATTCAACTTTGTCCAAATCATGACCTTCAGGGGTAGGGTGCGGCCACAATAGGGGATCAAAGTTTTGTAAAATGGGAATGTACAGTAAAACACACTTATAACAAAGTGCTTGGGGCGGACGATTTTGCTTTGTTATAAGTGTAATTGCTTATATCCATTAAGTTTACAATATATTTTAAAGTTAAGGGGAATGAAAATCGCTTTGCTGTAAGACTTTAGTGTCAATTCATTATAGGCTTGTTTCGCTATAAGATTGCTTTACTGTATAAGAAAAAAATTCCTTCTCAAGAACCACTAGGCAAAAAAAGTTTAATCTTATGTGAAAGTTTCATTACATAATGTGGAAACAAATTTGTTCTTTCAAAACTACTCCTCCTACAGATTTGATGCAACAAGTAGACTATACTAGTCTACATATTGTTTTCGTCAGTTTTCTTCTTCAATCAAATTTTGTCCGAACCTTAACTTGACAACCCTTTGACATTAAGACTTCAAACTTGAAACATGGAGAGGTGGTATGGAATTGGGGTTGAGGCCATCAAACATTTTTTACCTTGACCTTTTGATTAGGTCAAGGTCAATCTTTACATACAAATATAGTCATGGCTATAACCTGAGAACCCTTTGACATTAGGATTTCAAATTTGTAACATAAAAAAAAACATTTACAAAAGATGCACTGCACTAAAATTTTGACCTTGACTCCTTTCTTTATTCAAGGTCAAATTGAGAAAAACACCTCCAAACCATGACTTAAGAACCTTTTGACATTAAAACTCCTATCTTGGAACATGGAAAGGTGATATGGAGAAAGGGTGCATGCAAACAAAATTTTTTACCTTGTTTTTATGCCCCGCCATGAATATGGCTGGTGCATATAGTGTCTGTCATGTCCGTCTTCCGTCCTTTCATCCTTCCGCCTGTCTTTCTGTCATGCTTTGCGTTTAGTTCTGTTTAAAGCTCAGTTTCAAAGAAACTATCGATAGATATTGATGAGAGCTGTGTAACTGCATCCACATTTTTTGACCTTGACCTTTCCTTTGACCTTGACCTCACTTTTCTTAAATTAGTGTTTAGCTAAGTTTTAATGAAATCATTCAAGATATTTTTATCAAACTTCATATGCTGATACATACTAATGAGAGCTATTCAACTGCATCAACATTTTTTGACATTGACATTTCCTTTGACCTTGACCTCACTTTTCTTAAGTTAGTGTTTAGCTCAGTTTTAAAGATACCATTCAAGAAAGTGTAATCAAACTTCATATGTTGATACATACTGATGTTAGCTATTCAACTGAATCAACATTTTTTGACCTTGACCTTTCCTTTGACCTTGACCTCACTTTTCTTAAATTAGTGTTTAGCTCAGTTTTAAAGAAATCATTTAAGATATTTAAATCAAACTTCATATGCTGATACATACTAATGAGAGCTATTCAGCTGCATCAACATTTTTTTAAATTGACCTCACTTTTCTTAAATTTGTGTCAAAATTCATGTGGGAATATACACTTAATTAGGTCACCGAAATATTGCTGAGATATTGCCGACTCGGGATTAAACAATAAAATTCAATCATAATCAATCCAAAAGATGATTAGCTGTTGTGTAAAATGTAGGAGGACTTCTGGGAACCAGGGTCTTTTTGTATAAAAACATCATTTTTCGACCCCCATTTGACCCCATAGGGTGAAAATGAACATTCCGAAACCTTATTGCACAACTGCAGGACACCACCAACCACCTCCCAAAAGATGCTTAGGCTACTGTGTAAAATGTAAGAAGAGTTCAGGGAACCAGGTGCTTTTTGCATAAAAAACGTAATTTTTCGACCCCCATTTGACCCCTAGGGTGAAAATGAAAATTCCGATACCTTACTGCACATCTACATGACACCACCAACCATCTCCCAAAAGATGTTTATGCTACTGTGTAAAAATGTAAGAAGAGTTCAGGGAACTAGGGGCTTTTTGCATAAAAAAACGTAATTTTTCGACCCCCATTTGACCCCCCAGGGTGAAAATAAAAATTGAAACCTAACTGCACATCTTCAGGACACCACCAACCACCCCCCAAAAGATGCTTAGGCTACTGTGTAAAATGTAAGAGGAGTTCAGGGAACCAGGGGCTTTTTGCATATAAAACTAAATTTTTCGACCCCTATTTGACCCCAAGGGTGAAAAATGAAAATACCGAAACCTTACTGCACATCTACATGACACCATGCACCAACCATCTTCCAAAAGATGATTAGGCTACCGTGTAAAATGTAAGAGTTTAGGGAACCAGGGGCTTTTTGCATAAAAACGTAATTTTTCGACCCCCATTTGACCCCCAGGGTGAAAATGAAAATTCTGAAACCTTACTGCTCATCTACATGACATCACCAATGACATCACCAACCATCTCCCACAAGGACCAGGCAGAAAAAAATATTTTTCAAATTTCATCATTTTTTTCTGATTTTATTCACCGAGAAATAGCAATTTTACTCAAAATTATATAAATTTTTTTTTATATAAGATAAAGCCCCTTAGTATGATTTATTAGCAAATGCTCTCAATATTTTTCAAGGAATTTTGATTTCTCAACATTTATTTTTAAAATATTTTTTTTTCAAAATCCTGCAAACGTGGCGCATTGGAAAATGTGTTTTGTCCTATTACAATGTATAGAGAACCGTGACCATGCAAGGTTGAACAATAAGTGCTGGAAAGAAAAAGATTCCTGTCGGTGTAGTGTTAATATGTTTCAGTTATATATTTACCGTATTTTATCGTTAAATGGTGGGGCCCCATTATCAGTGACAATTCTCGAAGGAAATCGTCAATCTCCCTCACAGACTTGTCGTTCATTCCTCTCTCAGACACCTCTGCGATGGGCTCACGTCAAGATTTTTGACATATCGTAAAAACATGACATTCCAATGATTATTTCAAATTAAACTAATAGTTCTAGATATATTTAGTAAATATCTACCTTAAAAGAGAAACATTAGTGCAGACATTTAATTATGATAAACAAACGCACTTTTTCTCGAGTTCATCACTGTGATATACGCGAGCCAACGACAGAGGTGAATGTATGAGCCGATGGTAGAGAGTGGGGAATCGTTGCAAACAAACAAATACGTAACTTTTTAACACCTCATCCGGTTAATATTTTTCCTCAATACATTTAGAAAAAAAAAACTATTAGAAAAGGTCTGGCCTTGTGAAGGATACCAATAAGTCTCCCAAGTGAGTGGCTTAAAAATATAAAACATGGATCAAGTTCTGATCACATTTATAGGATTTTATTTTTCTTCTTTCAGAGGAATATGAAAGGCAAAGAGTTTCAGGCCCTTTGTGCTGTGATACTTTTGTTGTCAAATTGTCCCCTTGCTGGAGGTATATTTACCATTTAATAACATGAACTTTACTTCTAAAAATATGTTGAATCTTCTGCAATTTCATAACTTGGAAAGAGGCGAGCTTTCCTTATTGTATACAGCTAGTCAGCTGCCCGATCACTTATCCCTTCACAATGAAGTTCAAACTATAATGGTTCTTTACAGGAATAAATCCCCTGTTTATTTGCATGACTGGGGTTCTTGGTGTAGGAAGCGTTGCATTGGCAGTGCTTCCGCTCCTTGGATTCACATCTTCTGGGATAGCAGCAGGATCCATTGCTGCAAAAATGATGTCGGCTTCGGCAGTAGCTAGTGGTGGGGGTGTTGTCGGGGGTGGAATGGTTTCTTATTTGCAATCTGTGGCAACAGGCGGGATATCGGGATCCGTACTCACCGCTGTTGGGAAGGCATTTGCTTTTTGTACATCAGGAGGAATGTTATAAAAAAAAAAACCCTTGTATTAAGTCTAATTTGAAAATCTACGAATTGTAAATGTGATTTAAAAAAACGCTTCTATTCTTGACGTTTTAAGTTATCCCGTTTAGCATATTAAATTTGTCCATCTCTATCCTGTTTTGTGTATGTAGTTGTTGAGCATAAAAATAAATTGCTTATGAATTGCACAATATTTTTTCGTTTGTTTGATGTTGTAGCTTAACGCAGCCACTGTTAAGGCGTACTATAGAGAAATCAACGGAAAGTAGAAGTGCAAAAAACGGGACATTTTTAAAATGAATTTATTTTTGTTATGCTGTTCTATTATCACATGACTTGAATACTTATTGAAATAACATAGAATACCCCACTCTGTATTGAATTAAGATGGTCCCATCATTGGACAGTCACGTGATAAATGCATATAATATGTACTGCATGGAGGTCAAAATCAAATTTCAATATCGCAAAAGCATACACAATGTACCCTAGTTCAATCGAAAATTGAAGTGATTAATTTTTCTGCATATTTTGTGCTTTCTGGAAAGTGCTACTGCTATAAATAGAATTCGCATTTTACTGGTTAAAAAAAAACGAGGGCGCTTTTGGTTGACGTTCGGCAGAAATCAGGGCGCACTTGAAAAGTAAAAAAAAACTTCATTGAACTTTAAATTTAAATTTTAACATCCATTTCATGTATTATGTTCCTATGAAATAGGAAAGGAAAATATTTTCCCTACAGTGTGTTATGAATTCCTAAAAAAATAACTTGAAACATGGCTAGATGGGTCATTTGGTACAAAATGTTACATTTTTAAACACGTTTTTCTAAAAATTTGCTTTCTCTGGGTCATCTCTCCATTATTTTAAAAAGACATCTGTGTGCATTTGTATTCAAAGAAACGAACAAACATTTGTAAAAAAAATGGAGAGAAGACCCAGAGATTATAAAAAAGAACTTTTTCCAAAAAAAAAATACCAATGTGTAAATGCGTTGCTTCTTTGTCATTTTAAATTCCAAAGGGTTCGTGTAGAGATGTTATGAGTCCAGTCCACAGAGTATCTAATGGCTCCTCACTTGTATCTTTTGGTCCTTTATCTAATGGCTCCTCACTTGTATCTTTCGGTCCTTTATCATCTAATGGCTCCTCACTTGTATCTTTCGGTCCTTTATCTAATGGCTCCTCACTTGTATCTTTCGGTCCTTTATCTAATGGCTCCTCACTTTTATCTTTCGCATGGAGCATATCATTTTTTTTTATACAATCATGTCGTTTATCAGTTGAATTTTATTTTATATATAAATGTTTTAAGAGATAAATTTTGGTTCAGTTGCACAGGGAGCGAAAGCAATTTTTCAAACCTACTGAAACTTCATTTCATATATCATACCCTATTATCTTGTTACTAAGGTGTTCATTATATAGGAGATTCATTATATATAGGAAGTGTTACTCTGTTATCGTAACTATTAAGATAAAGTGGATTAAAATATTTTAAATTTGCAAGCTATATTTGAATGTAAATCTAAACATTTTCCTATGTGCATAACTTGATAAAGTCTGTCCACTTCTGATCAGCCGACCAAATCTTGGACATTTATACCATAAATGTTTCGTACACATGATTCCTGCAGATCGCACGCCAAGTGCGTCCATCTTTTTTCAAGTAATTGGGCTAATAATGAAAAATGTGTGACCTTTACCAAGTATTTTAGATATTTATTAAGTCATACTTTCGATTTAAAGAAAGTGGCAGCACTTTTCTAATTAAGGAATACTCCCTTAATATCTATACTTATAAATTAATAAATTTTGCAAATAAACTCCGAAACGGATGTACCAGAGTTTTTACCTACTCCTCTAAGAATACACTAGATGCAATATGATGTCCGTAAACTATATTTAGATTTCACTTGCATTGTAAGTATCGTACATTAAATTAAAAGTCTACTTTTATTTTCTATAAACAGCCATGAAATAGGAAAAAAACATGAGTACGGTGGCGTTTCCGGTTGGCAGATCTACGTTTCTGGCAATTTTCAATGAAACTGACAACAAGCAATCGTTTATTTATTTCATAAAACGTCATCACTAAATTATTCAATCAAAACTTGATTTAAATGACATAAAAGAAATAAGTTGTGATAACCGATTAAAAAGGGAAATGTGCAAATTATTTTTGTCATTTACCGATCTTAATATTGACGGAAGCTTCTAGAACATCATAGAGCCCGATGTTAAAAAGAAAAACGACACGATTATAGCTGCAGGAACATAAAAAAAAGCTTATGCATGAATGGTCAATGAAATAATGGTAAATCATTGATAACACTATAAGTTGTGAATATATTTATATATCGAAAGACTATTACATACATATAGTAGGTATTCATAATAAATTTATCGGTAAAATGTGTAATATATTCCTCACTGAGAGCATCGTGGCAACGAACTCGAAGTACAATTTCTACTTCGTAATAAAATTGCTTACATGAAAAGAGAAAATTAATGTATAAGATATTGCTCAAATTCAATTAAAGCTGTAAAATTTTGTGCTTTAATCAATACATTTCAGTTTTTTTCTGAACACAGTCTTTTGTATGAAATACTCGGCCTATTCATAGGGCGTTAAAAGCTAATTTTTACACAGGTACTTGCGTCTTGGTTTATAAACTGTGTATGTACCTTATTGACATGTAAAAAAGGTAAAGTACATTTTTACATATCAATAAGGTACATACATTTTTATAAACCATGACCCAAGTACCTGTGAATTTTTACACCCCCCCCCCCCCCCACAAAAAAAACAAAACAATCAATTTATCAGTAAAATGTGCATATTCGCTGCTTTTATCCTTGACGGAAATGAAATAAGAGCATCTGAAGTACAATATCCATAACATAGTATAACAGGTTTCACAATGAACATCAATTAATGAAATCGTTATTTTTTCAGGTTTATACAAAGGGGCGGGGGGGGGGGGGGGAGATGCACATGCGGGATTTTGAACAAAGTATTTCTTTCTAAGCCTGTAGGCTGTCAGTAGAAACTACAATATATTTTCTGTCGGTAGTGATATAAATTCAATTACCCGCACTTGCGCGGGATTTCATCTAGTATATTTTAAAAACAATTAAGATCTATTAAGTGTTTGTCCTTGCGAAAATGCGATTAAAATGGGGTACCTTGACGTTAAACATGCCAACCTTATAACAAAAACACGGTAGAATTATTTTTTCAATAATTATAATTCAATTATGTCTGTATTCTAGCCTTTGATTGGTTGATATCGAAAAAGGAACACAAACTATATCATTCTGTATAACCAGGGACCCGTTTCATCAAGTCGTAAATTTAAGACCTAACTTGGGTGTACTTCCGGGGCTTACGCCAAAATTTAGTCGGGCGTTTCAAGAAGTAGCGTGAGAAAATATGTCATTTTACAATATACTTAAGGTTTCAATTTATAAAAACTCAAATACCGTACGTAAATGGAGGAATGTAAAAACCTTATATAAGAGATAGTGACAAAATGAATCCTTAATAAATATTTTGTTAGAAACGGAAGTTTGTAAGTAAATATTGTATACTGAGTCACTGGGTGAGTTTGCTACTCCCACCCTCCCATCAAGAAATGGAGATTTAAAATATGCATCCTTTTATCAAACAGAAAAACACACATAATAAACCTTTTTTCCACAGAATTAATTCCGCCTCAGTTACATGCTGCGAAAGAGAGGTTGAAGAAATCAAAGAAAAAATGGAAAGACGCTAGGGCAAGTGTAAAAACAAGGAAGCCCAACGGAAACGTCAGACGAGGACAACTGGTGGAGGCCCACCGCCTGAAGTGTTTTTCAAACCATGGGAACTTGATGTACGATATATTGATTGATATACCTCTCTTCCTGAGTATTCTTTAATATCAGAGAAGTTTTGTAAAAAAAAAAAAAATAATAATAATAATTTGCATTAGTTATTAATAGGCATTATCAATGATCTCTGATGAGTTAATCGAAGGAATAGAAGGCGGAACTGACACTGGAAGAGCTCCAAAAACAGGTACACTACAAAGTTTGTGTTCATAATATATATGCATTTTTAAAATATAATAATAATAAAAATAATAATATTGAATATCTGGTTGAATCTTTTTAAAATATTTTATATTGACGTTTATATTATTTACATTGATAACTTATTTTTTTTTTAATTGTTTTTGATCATGTAGTATCTCTCTAAAGTTCGGAAGACTCGGCTAGTCTGGATGCACAATTATCATTTTTTTATAGGTAGTGTCTTTCTGACATAATTTCTATTTATCGATAAAATTATGCATTATGACATAAATAAATTTCTAAATAAGATATCATCAAATAATCTATAAGAATAATGCAATAAGGTTAATAAATTTAAAACAGAAAAGTAACTTAAATAACAATACTCCCCTCCCCCTCGGTATATTTCATATTAATTTATCATAAATATGATTAGGCAAACATAGATTAGAATGTCGTTATTGTATTCTTTAGTCAAAGAATTCGAGATCCCTGCGGAAGCTGAGAATAGTAATATATATATATATATATATATATATATATATATATATATATATATATATATATATATATATATATATATATAACTAAAATGACAAAAGACCAAAAGACAAACAATTAAAAATTATCAACTCAGGACAAAGAATGCAAGTTAAGAAATCATAAAAACAAAGGAGATGGAGAAACAAAAAACAACTAGCACTACTACTAAACTACCAAACGCTATATATTTACAATGTTACATATTTAATTTAAAGTTTATAACCAGTTGTAAAGAAAGAAATCCGGACCGTTATTAAATACGTCTGGTCTGTCGGGTGTAATATATACTGTCTTTTTTTTTAGCACTGTGGACTTTCAGCATGTTATCGTTTATAAAGAAATTTCAAATCTCACCGGCTTCAGTTAATTTATCGTTATGACTTTTTAAATAAAATAGCGCTTGAAAATAACACAGCCGTAGCATGATATCACATTTCCTCACACGCATGCGTGAGTTTGGAGAAACACCGCTTCATTTCAAAGAGAAAAAAAATTCAAGATTTCATCCAAAAAAGTGCATTAATACAGTCAGGACATACGTAAAGAAGGTATTTAAGGTGTTTACAAACAGTATAGAGCAGTTAA